CACCTGTGTGCAGGGCACAGGTATCCTCTCTGGAAGCTTCAGAAAGTCAAGCGGAGTGATAAACTCTTTCAGTGGAAGCAGCAAAGAACAAACTAGTTTGAGTCTCCTCCTTATGACCATTCTTCTCAGTGATGTCTCCTGACTCTTGCCAGTCCCAGTGCTCCCTTCACCCACAGCCCCAGCTGGATGCTGGGAATCCTGGGAATTTTGGGAATTCTGGGATGAGGCCAGAGGCTACGTAGCTCTGCCTCATGCAGTGGGGAACTAAGTCCCACACATGATGCATTCCTCCAAAGCTGGGGTAATGGAGACACAGTAATGAGTAGAAGGAGCCTAAAGGTTCAAACAGAAGCAGGAATATTGGAAAAAACCCGCAGGATTAGCTAGTAAATAGGTGCTCAAGACAAGTAGGAGGAAAGTCATTGGTCCTTTTGGATTTGGCAGCAAGGTTAACTGGAAGTTATAGAAAACTAAATTAACAAAAAACCAGGATCCCCAAACTAGTCTTGAAAACTCTGTGAAAAAGTGATCCGTCAGAAGCTTTGCTATAAAGGCAAGAAGAGAACTGAGCGAGAGCTCAAGGCTGAGTCTTGAGTTTTCAAGTGAAAAAAATATGTATCTAAAGTTAAAATACACATTGATAGTAACTGCTGAATAAATTCCATGAGCTTGACCTGCTCACCAATCACTGACCTCCACAGCTGACCTGGCATTGTCAATCTGGAAGACAGCAACAGATTCCACTGAAAATAATGAACAGTTCATTTGTTTCAAATGTATTCTGATATACAAGGGGCAAACTATGGGGAAATAGCAAACACAGCTACACGGGGACTGGCAGAACCTTGCCTTCAATTTTAGCTCGTACTGCTCTTCCTCCTCTCATTCTTCAAGCTTTGAACTTCAGATGGGCAGACACTTGCAATCAATCAAGGCTAAGGAGTGTCTGCCAGGGTTTATAGACTCTCTAGTAAATCCCAGCTTACACAGGCTCTCTCAGGAGAAGCTGAGTAAGTAGTTTTGGCAGCTGAAGTGGTGCCTGGTATGCCAAAAATCTTAGACAGCTGTAGTAGCTAATGGGCCAGAAAACTAAATCTTCATTCTTGAAGCTCAGCCTGCCTCTGTTGAAGCTAATGGTCATTTTGCCATGAAACCTACGGGGAGCAACAAACTCCAAGGCTGCTTGTGTTGCATATTCAGGGTTTTTTATGGACCGATTTCCAGGTTGGTAAAATTTCAAATAAGCCATACAAAAATGTTTCTGAAAAGCCTGGGGAAATGTTTGCTGTTGTGGCTGAAGTGTGTGAATAACGCGGCTGTGAAAAATACTTGTGTGTGCAAGCCAACACAAGATGTCACCACGTTACTAAGCTGGCAAACCTCACAGCTGGGGGAGGGAGGCTGTTGTTTCTTCTTCCTCCAAGTGATTGTTTTGAGTGGGCAAGCATAGTTTTGCAAGGCTAAATATCTCCATTGCCCACTTAGACTGCAAAGGTCAAAAAGCTGTGCAATATCCCTACCAGGTCCATCTGCACTGGTATCCACTCTTGCTTGTGGTATGAAGAAAAATCTTTTGAAGGTAAACTGAATTTGTGGTGCTGGAGGTTCATCTTCTGTAACAGAGATGACTTCAAGACTTCCAGTAGTGGGATTTGTCTCTTGCACCTGACTCAACAAGAGAAAAAAAGAGAAAGAACAAAATCACCTTGTAAAATGTTGTCATAGAATCACAGAATGGTTTGGGAACCTTAAAGATCACCCAGTTCCAACCCCCTGCCATGGGCAGGGACACCCTCCATCATCCCAGGTTGCTCCAAGCCCTGTCCAACCTGGCCTTGGACACTTCCAGGGATGGGGCATCCCCATCTCTGAACTACCAGGGCCTCACCACCCTCAAAATGAAGACTTTCTTCCTAATATCTAATCTAAACCTTCTTGTAGCCTCCTTTAGGTGCCGGAAGGCTTCAAACCGGTCTCTCTGGTGCCTTCTCTTCTCCAGCTGAACTTCCCCAGCTCTCCCAGCCTGTCTCCTTTAGCAGAGATGCTCCAGACCTCCAAGCATCTTTGTGGCCTCCTCTGAACTTGCTCCAGCAAGATCCATATCCTTCCTCTGCTGAGGACTCCAGAACTGGGCACAGTACCTTGTTATGTACTTAATGTTCACATGAGGAGCACTTACAATTTATTTACCAGCAAACTACTGAGGTTAAGTTTTGCTCAGACCTGTCTAAGCACCATATCTACTTTTTAATATCTCCCACTGGAGGTGTGAATCCATCTCCTCTATAACTCCAATAGGAAACAAGAGACTAAAAAGCATATGACACCTACACAGAACCTGACAGGATCCTTATTCAGGAGCCCCTGAATTTTACTCCAGTAAACTTGATGACTTACTACACAGTGAAAAAACAAACAAACAAACAAACAATTAAAATGAGCTACACTAGAATTCAGGGTAAATAGATTTGAAATGCTAATTTCTGACTCTGCACACTGGCAAAAGGGATCAGATTTTTGAGCTCACAGTGGAGTGAAAAGGGTCCAGGTTTGTTAAAGACAGTGGAGCTGCTAAGCTGTAAAAGCAGTGTGTTTGCAGTCAGTCCCAGAAAAGGCTTACAATGACACATTTTAGGCAAGGAATATGTGTTTTATCTGTGACACTACTTCAAGTCACCTGGAATATCTTTTCACCTTTCAGCAAACAACCGCAATAAGTTTTACACTCTTTTATTTGATAAAATTCCACGTGCATACAAATGAAAATAAATTTAACTTTGTAGAGAACCTACTAGCATGCTTTTTAAATATTAAAAACAAGAAAAAAGTCTTATGACTGGTGCATAATTTGCCCATCAGGAAACAAAACAGCATTGTGAAGCAAATTACATGAAAGCTGAATGCCAACATTTCATTCATTTAGAGCCTATCACATGCTCCCAAAGCTTCACTCACCTCTTCCTGAGAAGTCATAGCTAAAAGCAAAACTGTTTTCTTTCTTCATTATCAAAAGCAGCCCAAAGGAAATTCTGAGTCTGCTAAGCCAGTCGACTCTGGGAAGGTTTCCACCGAGCCCCGCTCAGCCTGTTGCGTGCGGCGTTACGGCAGCAGCCCGTGTAACCCAACCTGGCCAGGGCTATCGGGTGGCCTGGCTGCGGAAAGGGGAAGATAAAAATTCAGCATGCTCTCTAATTAGCCTAAGGAGGCCAGGTAATGTTGTAGCCTTTGCAAACCTCTCTGTAACCCCTCAGCAAAACGAGCACCACGTGCTCATCTCCTGTCAAAGCTGGCGCAGCTGAGGAGCGCAATGATCCAGAGCTGTGGGTGGCAGAAGGCAGCAGCCCCAGAGCTTCATCTCTTCAGCACACCTTACTCTTCCCTCCCTTGGTTTAGCCTTTGCTGTGTGCCTGCATGGGGGTTTTTTGAAAAAGACCCATCATTTAATTATGGATGATTTTTGTAATTAAATGTTCCATTGTATTTTGGAAACAATCTGCAAGCAGTTGTCTCATGTTTCTGAAGTACAAATTCATTTCTATTCTGGGATTTAGGAAATGAAAATGTATTCTCAGCTGCAACAAATGCTCAAGGAGTAGTAATAATTTGGTTTGTTTTTTTCACCAAGAAGAGATATCAATGACAGAGGGAGGGATCAAGGAAGAAGGAGGAGGAGACATGAAGCAAAAAGCCCAGAGCAGCATAAGTGAAACAAGGCTGCTGAGAGGCCAGGGCAGAAATGAAGGTTTTCCATGACAAAACCCATGTTCCTGGAACCTGGCTTCAGTGAGGGAAGATGTTCATTCCCTTTGCTGTGCACAATGGAAACTGGCACTTCCAAAGGAGAGGACACGATATCACAGTGCTGTTAAATTAAGCCATGGCATCAAGAATTCTTCATCATTTCTTGTGTCACTCTTTCAACAGCCTTCCCTGGAAATGGGAACACAGGGGGACATAAGAAAAAAAAATAAAAGAAGAGATCAGACAAAGAGGTATGAAACAAGCTGCATTTCTTGAGTTGCTCACGATGCTCTGACATTCTCCCCACCAGGCTTCAGAGACAAATGGTTGGACAAGCAACTCAACGTGACCAGGTGCCCCAAGGGAAACTTTAGCCAAAGAGGGGACAAAGTGAGGGTTTGTTTCAGGAGATCAGCAGCTCAGGTTATCCTTTCAGTCCATAGGGTGAGATGTTCTGTGTTCCCCAGGGAGCGGTGATACCTCCAGTGAGGACAGCCCAGGCCAGAAAAAAACTGTCTCCAACCAATTTACCTGCTCTGGCCACACTGCAAAAGCCTGGGAACCAGCCAGGCAAGCTCTGCAAACGCTCCCACAGTGGGACAGGCACAACTGGAAAGGACAGGCTTCTCCTCCCTGCTGCCACCCTGAGCTGCTCCAAGCTCAGCCTCAGGGTATGATGTCTAGATGGGACACTGGGGGTCACCTCACGCTGTTGGGTTGCCTTTGGCTGAGAAGACCAAAGCAGGAGCCATGTATGATAGGGACATGAAAACTGAGGCTAAAAGGAAAGAATCTGGCCTACAGACTAACTTCTTACATGCTGCAGGACAGCCCCACTTGCCTTTCGCACAGTGCAGTCACAGCTCAGGTGGATTTCTTGGCTTTCAGGAGACAGTTTAAATGGAAAGGCTAAAAGATTCCATCCCAGCCCCTTTAGTAAGTCCACTTTCACTGTAGTGGCTACTTTTGGGCTTCTAGTCTTGTTCTGCCAGGGTGGATAGGAAAAGCCTGCAGATAGCTTTTGCTTTTTTAGCTACACTGCAACAAAAATTAAGAGATGCAGATTCTATGAAAACAGGATGTCAGCTTTTGTCAGAAGAGATCGCAAGAGCCTTGAGGTTTTCTTTTTCTTATTTGCTTCTCTCTCTCTCTCTCTCTCTTTCTCTCTCTCATTTTCTTCCTCCCCCAACTCCCTCCCTCCCTCCCACCCTCCTCCCACCTCCCGGTTTCTGTCGCACTCAGCACAGGGTCAGGGGACGAGCGGAGGAGATGGCGCTGGCTGAGACTCAGCTCTATGCAAAGGTGGCCAACAAGCACAGGAGCAAAAGCACCTCTGCCCTCCTCGAGTCCCTCCTCGACAAAGGATTCCCGGCTCATATCGCGTGAGTAATTTGTTCAGCTGCCTCTGCACAGCGAGGTTTATTTAAGATACGAGGTGTTTCCCATAAAATCCTGTCATCAGGCAGCTCGTTTTTTTGATCAGGAGAATGTGCTGCTCCTGGGGTTGAAGTCCCCGTACATGGATCAGACTTGTCTCGCTTCAGATTTCGTGCAGAGCGGTGTTTATTGCTCACATAGCAAAACCAATATCAATTTTTATAAATATATCTAAAGTATATCTGAAGGTGTACACCCTCTCACGTCCTGAGCCTGAGAGGCTTCACAGTGAGTTAAGAAGTTGGCCATAGTTTGCTTTGGGATACGTCATCTGTCGTTTTTTCCTACTTATCACTCTTATTATAAGAGAATTAAATGTGGATGTAATTTCTATCCAAAGTTTTTTTCAGGCCTGGCAAAGGTCTCCTGCTGGATATTGTTGTGATGTTTCCTGCTGGAAATTGATTTAAAAGATTGAGTTTAATTCAAGATTAATCGTTAACAAGATGGCACCTAGATCTGTCAGTTTTATTTCCTGTCTTGAATTAGAATCTTGTTCTAAAAACTCTTGTTCTAACTAGAAAATATAATAGTAAAGAATGAGGGTCCATTCTTGGCAATCCAAATGAATGGGAGATTAACTGGGACCGATAACTAAGTTAGAAAAAAAAGAAACATGGTGGTCACTCGTCCCCCAAACATGTCTCTTGTTGGACTGGCAAGTTTTGGGAGGATTTTCCAACTTCTGAAGGGAAAGTATTGACAGTTTGGTTCCAACTGTTCAAAAAATAAAACCGATTATTTAAATAATAATCAGGTCAAAGAACCCCTCACAAATATATTTTAGAAAGGAGACCAATACCTCCCTTTTGACAGAAGATTAAGCAAGTTGGAAAGTGCTGTGTAGCTATTTTAGGAACAGCTGTATTAGCAATTAGCATCAGACATGATGGGCACAGCTTACAGGGCAACTGTGGGTGCCTTGTTCCCAGTTATGCAAAGTGGAGTTTTAGCTGTGGGCTGAAAATCTGGCTCGTCATTTCTCCAGTAATACTGTAAGTTTGGTCACCCCAAAGTAAAGGCTAGTTCTTCAGTTTTTTTGTCCTGTATGTCATGTTTTTCTAGTCCACTTAAAGCACTTTCTGCTATTATTGAGACAGCTTTGTGCTTCCTAGGTCAAAACCAAAAAGTGGAGACAGAAGTACTATACAACTGACCCAAAATGACAAAATATCAAAAAGCAATGTTTAAAAAAAAAAAAATTTAGTTGTACTCACTTTAAGACTTGGGTGGAAGTACTACGAAATCTTTCATAATGTAGAACCAACAGGCCAAAGCAATATTTTCCCAAAGAACAAAACTCAAATATGTGGGGGTCAAGTCTAGCATTAGATCAACAAATTGGGCCTCCCTTGGTGCTTATGGAGGATTGTCGTGGTTTTGCTCTGGGTCAATTTGCTCTCACCCCCCACACAATTACTGTAAGTTGAGAGAAGGTTTATGCAGACAAAAGAGACTTGATTGGGGAAATAATATTAGAATTTATTACTAGCAAGATAAAAAAACTAAAGAACTATATCTACAACAATTCTACTTAGGTAAAAGTACTATGTATTTACAGAAATACCTCTCCCCCCTTTTATCAGTCCAAGGAGGAGAAGCAGTCTCATTCTCCATCTCCAGAGCTCCAGGTCTTTTCAATAACTCTGCAGCACTCTAAAGCTCTTCTTCTGTTATCTCAGGACGACAACTTCGATTCATCATAGCTGGAACTCTTTTTGTATCTCTCTCTCTTTATGTCGGCCTCAGGCAGGGCTGGGCCTACCCCCCTCCTGGGCTAAGACCGGAGGCTGGGGGGTTACCCAGGCCCTGTAGGGTCTTCTCTTCCATGGACTGCAAGGGGACACTTGCCTACCATGGATCTTCACCACAGAGTCACAGGGGATGATGGCTTTTGGGTCCACCCCTGTTTCCTGTGGGGATCCCTTCCCGCGGGAGAACAGTCCTTGATAGACCTCTCCGACGTGAGTCCGTCTCTCAGACAACAGGTCTTCCATTCTCTGCTGTCTCTCAGGGTCACAAATTTCCACAAATCTCACTGAGATCCCAAGCTTACCCGAGCCGTCTTGCTCCAGCATAAGTCTCTGTCCACGGCCTACAAGCCCCAGTAGGACTCTGTTTCATTTCAAGCCTTCTCATGAAGTCTTGGCTTCCTCATGCATCAACTTACTCCAGTGTAGGCTCCTCCACGAGCAGCATGGGGGTCTCCTCACCCCAACAACCTTCTACAGGTGGTAGGGATTTATTTTTCAGTCTTTTCCCTGCTGAAGGGAGAGAGAGAGAGAGAGCAAGAGACGGGGGAGAAGCAGGCCCCCCCTTCGAACTTCTCTCTCCTGATGCAGCTTTGGCCTTGAATACTTCGTTATCTCTCTGCTGGAATTTCTTCTGCAGTTTTTCTCATCCAAGCAGTCAGTCCTTCTCTAAAGTTTTTTTTCTCTGCTCTCTTACATGAGAGAAGAGGGGCTTCAGTGCCACACCTGCCCCCGGCCCAGGGCCAGGGGAGGAGGGGGGCCCTGGCCCTCCTTGGGGCCTGCCACTGCTCCTACATGGCTACTGCTCCTAATTTCAACTGCACCACAGGCTTGTCTTCCATCTTCTTAAATATGTAATTAGCAAAGGCACTACTGGAACTTTTGATTGGCTTTTTCTCCAGAAATCCACCTGGACAAAACCATCCTCAGCCCCAGGGGCTGGCTGGTGGGCATAACCACGACCAACTGGAACTGTGCCAGCAGTTTCTGTTTTAGGGAAGAGCCAGTTTATTCTCACTGTAAATTTATTTTTAATCTGCTTTCAATACAGATTTTCAGTGGTTTACTCCTACTTTCTATCTGAGAAAAATTGGTATATGCAGATTTTGTTCTATGCATTATCTTTCATTCTTCACTGCTCATCTTAGAAGAGTAGGATGTTTAGTCACAGCCTAACGCCCTCCTAGTGCTAAGGGCTCTACAAACCCTGTTGGAAATCATCCTACAGCCAACATATATGATGAGACAAAAGGTGTGGACAGGTATGGAGAGGAGCACAAGAGAACAGACGAGATAGTACTGATCAGTTCGTGTCCTCAGGTCTCACCTGTCTGATTACATTTACGATTTTTATGGCCCCCATGGTGGAGAGGAGCTGAACTCAAGCTCCCTTGGCTTCAGGGCTGTTTGCACAGAACTTGTCTCTGGGTGGGAAGAGCAGCATGGCACGAAGCCATAAAACACTCTCTTTGAGGTGCAGCGAGTGGTTACCAAAGCCTGGCATCACTGGCCAGGTGGCAGCAGGCACTGACACTTCCCTGGGACACGGCAGGAAGGGCTGCGTGAGGAGGATGATGAAGAACGGGTTGTTCGTGTTCGCTGTGATGCAGAGGCACGGAAGGGAAACAAGCAGTATTCAGTCACAGAGGACACAGGGTAGCTTTAAACCAACCAACTCATGATTTTGAAATGATCCAGCCATGGGAGTTGGTTTATTTTACAGAGAAGAAGGGTAGAAGGTAAAGTTTGAGCCCTCGTCCGTGCTGAGCCCCCACTAAAGAGCCAAGCACGGTTGTACATCCATATAAATACATTTAAATGTTTTTAGTGGGCCCATGTGTAGTTTTACACTAAAGAGAAGTCAAAAGACTCGGAGGAAGTGTCGGGGATGAACCTGAGTCCTGCAGCTCAGTGCACCCATTGCACTGGTGATGCATGTTTGGGTATCACAGGGGTGGATGGAGAACAAAAATGAGGGGAGACAAAATGATTCAATGCCATCAGGACCCAGTGGCCAGAAAGGATGACCTCAAGAGAGAAGAAAAGGGATGGGCAGATGCTGAGTAATTCAGTGGGGTTTTTTCCACATCCACTGTCTCGACTTGCCCTTCATGTTTCTTCTGAGAAGTCTGTAGGTGGGTTTCAGGGGTGGAAATGGGGTTCATGGCTGAAATGTTTCTTCAGTGCTGGGATCCTTCCCCACATCCCCCAGTATTTAGCCACAAATACTTGTTCACATGAAGCACGTAGCTGACATTTTAAAAGCTCTAGTGAGGAAAGGAAATGTGAATCAAATCCGACCCCAGAAGATGAAAGTTGCATTAACAGAGAGAAACGTGAGATTTTGTGCCTCGTCTTGAACCGAGCTGCTGATTTAGATCTGAGTCTCTGCTGGTCTAGGGGAGATCCTCAGACCAGATTTCAAACCCCAATATAAGTATTTTTTTGCTTTGTTTATATATATAATATATATATTATATATCTATATTTTATATATATATATATATATATATATATGTATATATATGGGCTTGGGCCTGGCATCTTAAATCAAGAAAACTCTGCTCTTAGAGTGGATGGTTTTCCCAATCCTAAGGAAATCCATATAGTCAGTAGGGCTGCTAAGGAAACACAAAAGATCTTCCTGTGGGGAAGATAGGTTACCAGTCTTCAAGGAATTAAAGAATTGCAGTGTAAAAAGCTATCTGGAGGGCCTCAGGAACATTAAAATATGCCAGGAAAAACCTAGTGGCTAAAGGTCCTTCCTGTGCTGGAAAATAAACTTGGTGACCACAGTCACTAAAACGCCTTTACTTTCTAGGAATTTTCTTTCTGTTACTATGAAGAATCAATTTTGCTTTTTTTTTTTTCCCTAGGCAAAAAGCTTTGGTTGCTACTGGACAAAAGACAATAGAAGATGCAGCAAAATGGTAAGTACCTGTGATTAGTAAGGTGAGCTTTTGCATTAAACCTGGTTAAAAATACTCATTTATGTGCTGATCCTGTTACTGAATTTGAAGTTAGCTGCAATAAAAAAAAAAAAAAAACCATGCATCTGAGAATTTTTTTTTCCCTATTTATTTCACTCAGAGAGAGAATTATTTGTATTTGTACTTATTCTGGGAAGCAAGGTTACTTGCAGAAGGTCCAAGGTAAATAAAAACCCAGGGCAGAAGCAGCTACTTTTACCCATAACTGGGGTTACAAACACATGCAGTAACATTATAGGATTAAAAAGCAATGGCTGAAGGGAAACAGAAAGGTTCAGCTTACAAAGCAAGCTGAACAGGCTGGTGATCAGAGAGAGGTATTATTAGAATCAAAATAATTTGTTAGTTTGAACCTCACAAAGTTTTTTCCTCTCTATCAAGGCCCTCACAGAGTGTTTTATGTCTTTCATGTGATGTTAATTGATTTCTTATTTTTTTACTTTAATTCACCATCAAATTAAATCCAGTCTTTCCTTGCATTTTCTTCTGGATTTTGTTTTGCCTTTTTTTTTTTCCCCTCTTGGTTTGGTTGCTTTTTTTCTTGTTTTAGGTTTTGTTTGGGGTTTTTTGTTTGTTTGGGGTTTTTTGTTTGTTTTTGTTTTGTTTTGGGTTTGGTATTGTTTTTTTTCCTTTTGTGAAAAGCCACGGGAGGTATTTGAGAATGGCTGTTCTTTCCAAATAATTTTTTTCAGGGATTCTACCACACTTTCCAACAATTGCTCCCAATCCTACAGCTGTGAAGACAAATACACAGCATGTGAAGGACAAGGTGAAGGATATCATCACATGGCACATGAGCTTCTGACCTCTGCATGTGCATTTTCTGATTTGCCTCGTTCACTTTTCTTAGGGCTGAATAAAAAGGTTCTTCTCAAGTATTTTTTTAACCTTCAGTGAATTTTTACTTATTTCATTTTGTCACTCTTCCAGCATGATCTACCCATTGCCTTTTTCCTCCCCCAGTCCTCTGTTTCCAGTCATGAAAGAGGGAGAAAAAACCCCAAACAGCTGAAAAAGGGTTTTTTTGTTGTCTCTCATTTTCAGACATTGATAGTAGTGAAGGCACATAATGAAACGTACTCAGAAAATAAGCAGGAAAAAAATTCTCCATTATTTAGTACTTCAGAATGACATATTTCTGAGGGGCTTTTACTTCAGCTTTCAGCTTGTACGAAGATAATAAAATTGTATTTCCTTTTCCTGACGTCTGCTGGGGATACTTTCAGCCACAGGAAACAGGAGTGAGCAGCGCACACACTCTCAGTGACACGCTCTCGATTTCAGGTTGCATTCCCACTGCAACGATCCCTCTCTGGATGACCCGATCCCTCAGGAATACGCCCTTTACCTGTGTCCCACCGGCCCTCTGCTCCACCGCCTGCAAGAGTTCTGGAAGGAGAGCAAGCGCCAGTGCGGGAAAAACAGAGCCCACGAGGTTTTCCCACACGTCACCCTCTGTGATTTCTTCACGGTGAGGCGCAAAAGGCGTTGCAAAGGGGCGATATTTGGTGAAACTGGGCCACCTGCTGTCGTCTGACACCAGAACTCCTTGGTGATCAAACGACAGGACCCAGGTCCGGGTGTGTTGCTCAGGGTTAGAATGGGATGTTTTGGGGTCGCTGAGTGACACGTGTCCTTCTAGAGCCACCCTGTGCAGTTCCAGGCTACTCTCAGGCTTCAGAGACTGTGTCCATAGCTCATGGATCCAGGATTGTAAGCCTTCCTGGCTAGGGCAGCAGTAGCTGCCATCAGCCAGCAGGGACAGTGTTGTAGGATGCAGACAACTTTGGTATCGTGCCCGTGGGAATCTCAGGGCAATCTCTACCTTTCCCAGAGAGCCCCATCAGCAGGTCATTGCTAGGGTGGCATGTCCCAGATTTTACCCTTTCTGTTGAAGATTCTGCGAAAAAAGAGAGAAGCAAAAGTCACAGGGATGGATGGGAGGGGAGACAGGCTGGACTCCAGCAGCGCAATTCAGTAACTTTGTCAATAATTTAGCATGGAAGTTTTGCTCCTGAACTGGACTCCTGGTGAGCTGTTTTCTGGTTCTAGAGAAGCTGCTGTCCTCCTTCTGTATGCTGGATAACCCCCTAGAGAACTTCCCAGCAGAGCTGCCTCTCCTGCACAGGTGAATGTGCCAGTGTCAGCCAAGTCCAGCAAAGGGTCACTGGTCTGGGAAAGCTCTGGAGCCACCTGGAATCTGGTTTTTGTGTGCTGATGGTGCAGCTGCAGCTGAGATGTGCTGAAACAGGCATGAGCCAGAGCAGCTGGACAAAAATTATTCTGTTAAACCATGCCAAGAAATATAGGCAGTGAATATAAGAAATTTTGTTGCAAAATACTGAATGGTACTCTCTGGTTATTAAACACAATTACACAGGCTGCATACACCTCGGGTTGAAGGCTCCATCTCCTCTTACAGAACCAGGGCACCACACTGATCAAACTGCCTGATATTACTGATTTTAATGCCAGGAATTCCAGGCAAATTCATAGGTCTTTTGTGTTTCTCAGGAAGTTTAATGGCCCATAGTTTTCTACTGCATAGCAGGGGTTACAGTACTGGCTGTTGAGCTGGTGGTTAAAACCTGCTCTTCTTCTGTTTTCTTTCAGTGTGAAGACCAGAAAGTGGAATTATTGTATGACACCCTAAAGCGGGTCGGTGACAGCTTTTCCCAGTGCTTTCCACCATCCATTTCCCTGACACTACATGCATCCCCCAGCTACCTTGGCTTCTTCATTGATGACATCCATGCCAATGTCCTCAAAGACTTTGCCCTGGCATTCTCATCAGAGGCTTCAGCCCTGGCAGGTAGGGTCAGCATCAGAGGGAAAATGGGTGGGTTGTAGCACAAATGTTTAGGCACAGGACTGAAAACCTCTGCTGTGTCTCCAGGGGAGCTTAGATGATGTTTTACTGCCAGCAAGCACCCTTTCCTCCTCCAGATTTGGAAGCAAAGTGGCTAGAGGATCATGTTTTAGACTTTGAAGACACAGTGCTTTTGTCTAGAAGCTGAATTGATTGTCTCTGCCTGATACCCACTCCAGTGACATTCCAAGAGGAATGTTAAACCCTGTTCATTTTTTTCCTCCCAGGTGAAGCCAGGAAACAAATCTAGTCCACATTTGTGAATTATTTTGGCATAATTAAAACCACTCCTCAAAACCACTATTCAGTAGATCTAGTAGTAGATCTACTCTACTTCTAGTTATTGTGATATTTCCTGCATCATGCAAAGCATGTGGGATAAAACAAGAAGAGCTTTAAATGACCTTTGTTTCTACTTTGTGATGTTATTGTTCCATCCCTAGACTGCCATGTGAAGCCCTGTCTGAAGCAGTTCCACCTTACCCTGGCTCACAAGTTTTATCCTCACCATCAGAAGACTTTGGAACAACTGGCCAAATGCATTAACCCCGGGGAGCCCTGCCAGTGGGTGGCTGCTCTCTACTCACGGGACATGCGTTTTGTGCATTATCAGGTACTGTAATCACATTTATTTAATTTCCTTATTTAAAGTCCTGTGGTCGGACTCTTTGCTACAACCTTTCCCTCCTTAAGAAAATCAGTGCATGGTGTTTCAAAGAGCACAGATGTTTCAATTACCTTTTTGGGTTGAAAAACTGGACTCGTGAATCAGTAGACAATACCTTTTACAGTAGGCTGCTTGACCTGCATGTCTCAAGATCTAGTTCCAAACTCCATCAGAAAAAAACTAATCTTACCATGGCATGAAAAAAATAAAAGAGACAGGAAATCATGATCATGGAATATTTGCCAGCATTTTTCAGTTTACAGTTTTGCAGTAAAATTCCACTGAGTAAAATTGGTTTTCTGGTTTGTTCCAACCATGATGAAAATGGCACAGGCTCAGTTCTCAATAATGATTTTCTGCTTAACAGGCTCTTTGTTAAAACCAGTCAACATTTTTCCAGTCCTCATTTCCAAATTTAAATTATGGAATGATCAACACTTTTTTTGCCAGATCAGTAAATCACTTTGTCCCAGGTCTCATATTGGATTTTAGTCACACTCAGGAGAGCTGCAAGTGATCACAAAAATAGCTGATAACGCTTTTGCTATGTTTGCTTTCAGATAAGTCTGTACTAGTTACAGGGGGGAAAAAAGAGTATTTTTATGAAAACTGAGTGCCTATTTTTACACATACTGCAAAAGTGGTAGAGTCTTCCTTTTTGTCTGCCACTAAAGAGCACATTGCAGAGCAGAAAATAAAACCCGTTTGCTGTGTCCACGGGAGGTGAGCAAGCACCCCCTGAGCTGCTGCAGCACCAGCATCCTGACCCTGCTGCATGTTCCCCTGCTCCAGAGGCTGAGGGCCCTCTTCCAGTACAAGCCCCAGAACATTGATGAGCTCATGATCAACGCCGGGGATTTCATCTACGTTGACCCGACGCGCCAGAGCGACGTGAGCGAGGGCTGGGTGGTCGGGACCTCGCACCGCACCGGCTGCAGGGGTTTCCTCCCAGAAAACTACACTGAGAAAGCCCACGAGTCAGACACGTGGGTTAAGCACAGGTGAGCTGGGGTTTTTTGGGTGTTGCTTTACATCTGCCACTTTGGTTTTTATTTTCAAGTGGTCCTCCTCGCTGGGAGCTGTGGGTTGACAGGCAGGAGCTGGAGGTGGTGTGGGCAGAGGAGAGGAGGGGGTGATCTCTGAGGGTCTGGGTGGGATGCTGATACACCTTCTGAAAGAAAAGAGGTAGGACATGCACCCTCAGACACCCAGAGTTCACAAGTTCAGCTGCTCGAGGGATGACCCCTGTTTGCTCCTGAACAACCTGAACACCCTAATGAATTTTAAAAGACCACATTCTGCTGGGCAGGCTGAGCCTTCGGCCTGGCTCTCTGCTCTCTTCTTTTTTGTCATTTCAAGAGCTTTGAAAGTTAACTTGAAATGAAGCCACACAAAGGTTGCTCCACCACCTTGAGACTACCCTCATCTTGTTGATTTACCCTGCATCAAAAGTCACCTGCCTGGCTTCCTGCACTTCACTCTGCAGGCAACAGCACCGCTGGTGCTGCTTGTAGAGCAGAGCTGATTTTTCTAAGCAGGAAAGTTTTAGGTGCATTTCTTGCTGAACCCTCAGAGGCAGGGAGGAGGAAACCAGGTAGTATTTCCTGCTTGAAAGTCCCACTTTAGCAGGGTTACACCCAATATGTGCCATCAGTTCATAAAATTTTAGCCTCATTTTTATGAGGTGTATTCTGAATCAAGAGCAAAGTGATGAAGTGGATTGCAAAAAGTATTGAATGGAACACGAATCCTGACTTACAAGTGCCTATAAACAACATCATGACTCAAAAATCTCTTCTATTTGTGTGTGTGCTCATATATTTGTGTGTGTGTGTTGCTTCTGCCCTTTCTACAGGGAATATGTTTTTGTGACAGCTTCAAGATCCTCCACCCAAGCTGAAAGGGAGTCAAATGTAAAGCTGAATGGAGAACCCCATAATCCAAGTACGTCAAGGAGTGGAACCAGTGTACTTTCTACTCAGGTAGTTGTTTTTTTCCACTTCTTATCTTTGCCACTTGCTTGTGCAGGTAAATTAAAATTTAGAATTAAAAGTAAATGTAATAATAAATGTAAATGTACATTTAGTAAAGGCTTCCTTTTCCTCCCTAACATTTTCATGTTATGTTGTAATACATATGTGTATATGTACACACACATGCTCATATTGTATGGCATATAAACATTTTGTAGTGTATATATGAAGTATATACTCTTGCCTTTCATAAAACTCTTTGTGTTCCTGTCATATTAGTACAACACATGAATTCTCTGCTTGGGTTTCTCTGAGCACAGCCTTCCTGGGCAAGCTCTGCAGAGGTATGGAGACAAGTCTGACAAGTGAGACACAGGCACAACTTCTCCTGACTTCCATATGGGTTCAAGGCAGAGCAACTGCATCTGAATTGGGCTCATTGTTCATTTTTGCTCTTATGTCCAGAGTCTACATGTGTCATCTTTGTGTTTTTCATGGTCCCAGATCACATTTAAGTGTTTCATTTTCTTCTTTATTTTTTTAATGTGTAGCTGATGCAAATAACTGCCCAGAACAGCTAGCTGGAGTGATTAACAGCACTGATATGATTACACTTTTTTCTGACTTTCAAAATCAACAGGAATCAATTTTTCACAGTGTTTTCCAAGAACAAAGCAAATAAGGACTCTGGTTTTTACCTACAGCCCATTTGCACCTGCATTGTACTGTTGGTTCTGACTGTCAGGGATGCCAAGATGGTTCTTTCCAGCACCCTGACATGGTGCAGAAACCCCTTTGGGCTTGCTGGCCCCACAGCCTCTCTTCCTGCTGTGCTGGGGGATAACCCCAGGTTTGTTTGTGTTAACATCGGAGAAACTTGAGGGCACCTTGAGGGAACTTCCACCCTGGGGCCTCCAGGATGCTGTGACTGTATGACTGTAGGAAAGAAAATTCTGAACAAGTCACATCCTCTTCCTCTGGCTCTTGGTTGCTCTTGGTCTCACTTATTTGGGTCAGATCTGCAGCAGAACCACCACTTGGCCCCAAAGAACATCTTGTGCAGATGGGCACCTCTCCAGTGTAGACTCTCCCTGGCCTCTGGGTTCCTATCAAGCAGAAGAGGAAGACCACAAAACCTTGGTTTTAAACGCTGATCTTGTGGCAGTTGATTCGTGGCTGATTCTTTGGTGTTTTGTGGCAGAAATGCAATAGTGTTTAACAGAACACATGAATATCAATTTCATAACACTGCTTAAGAATTCCCTTCTCTGCTGCTGAAAATGCACATCACTGACCTCAGTGCTTCAGCAGTAATGCTGGTTTTAGTTTTAAAGCATTTGACCTGTTCCTCCTTATCTTCTCGTCTGTATTTTATGTGCATTGTATGCTAAGGTCAAACTACTTAGCATTTATTTGTAATTCCATGCAGTCTGAGTAAAAAAAAAAGCAGCCTCATAGAAGATCTGGGTTCACTGTTGACTTGGAGAAGCTTGGTGTTAATCCTGGTGTAGAAAAGGGCATTGTCGCTTAAATCTTTGCTAATTTTCCTTTCTTTTTTTTTTTTTTTTTTATGTCAACCACATGATAGAAATGGAAGTTGTAATTCCTTCCCACGTTGGGACTGAAAGATCTGCTCACAGCACTATCTTTCACTAGTGCAAATAGAGTCAAAATCTCGTGTAGCCCACGAGGTCATGGATTTGACCTTTGACAAGACAAGACAAAATGGCCTCAAGCTGCACCAGTGGAGATTCAGGTTGGACATCAGGAAGAATTTCTTCACTGAAAGGGTGGCCAAGCATTGGAAGGGGCTGCCCAGGGGAGGTGGTAGAGTCACCATCCCTGGAGGTGTTCAAGAAATGACTGGATGTGGCACTCAGTGCTCTGGTTTAGTTGACAAGGTGGTGATTGGTTAAATGTTGGACTCGATGATCCTGAACATCTTTTCCAGACTTAATGATTTTATGATTCTCTCTCTTTCACTTGCCTTCAGTGGAGAGCCAGTCAGGCTTATTACTGTCCTAAAGACAGGCATCTATTACAGCATCTCCTGCCCCTTTTCCCACAGCTGCCTCAGAACACCCCCCTGCGCAGAGCGGTGCTGGTGATGCGCCACGGGGAAAGAGTTGACCAGGTCTTTGGCAAATCTTGGCTCCAACAGTGCCTGACTGCAGATGGTGAGTGAGATAACAGGAGGATCTTAGCAAACTAGAGCTAATTAACCCTCTATAATGGGTACAAGAGATTCAATCTTCTACCTATTACTGTAAACATTGACACAAAAGTAGTGAGTAGCACTGCAAGGCAGGCCCAGCACTTCAACCTGCATGTAATCAGCAATGTCCTCAGGCCCTTCATGCTTATGCTCAATAAACCCTGCAGACAAACAAAGTTTTTGTGCTGCTGGTGGAAGTGTGTCTCACTGACGGATGAACAAATCACAAGATCACATTCACCACCGCTCACTGCGGAAGGTGGAGGTTGTCAGACCCCTCTGCCTCTCCATGACCGAGTCAGAACTGTGGTCTCTTGATCAGAGTCACAGCACGTCACTAGTCCAATCTAAAGCAGCAAGAGCAAACTGTGGTGGAAATGAAATGTCAGCACTGACCTAAATCAAAATCCGAATTTCCTGGCCTTCTCCCTCTCTCAAAAAACAAAACAAAACAAAACAAACAAAAACCCACAAAAAAACCACCAAAAAACCCATCCAAACAAACAAAAACCCCAAACCAAACCCCCCCAAAAAACCCAACCAACAAAGAGTATGTTTTCAGGTGAAGAAACTGACACAAGATAGGGAAATGTGTCAGGAGGAAGGAGGGGAACAAGAAGGTGGGAGTTCACAAAGAGAGCTTTATGCTGAAAGTCACAGCTTTGCTATGCTGGAGATTCCCTATGTCTAGTGGGTGAAATTCACATCAGATGAGGAGGGTGGCACCTTCTGGCTGTACAATCAATACATTGCTTTCATTTTTCTTCAGTGTAAATGCTGGGTTTCTGTCATTTTGGCAATGGTAAAAGAATATAGATAGGAGAGGATTTTTGTTTCACTTGAGCCCCACAAAGACAAATTCTCATGATTTCCTATTCTGCTTCTCCTCCTCCCCACTTGCTCCTTCCAAGCTGGCTGAAGAGATGCTATTTTGTTTAGGACAGGTGATTTCCTAAGCCAATGTTGTGACCTTGAAATGTGACCCCTTTAAGGTAATAGCCCCGGCTGTTTTTCATCAGTGAGACACTGAGTCTGCAGTACTGACGTAATACAGCTGCTGCCTCCCTTGTGCCACAGAGAAATGTCCCACCTCTTTTCAGGAAAATACTACAGAGCGGATCTGAACCTCCCCTCTGCCCTGCCAAAGAGGAAAGACAGCATGAAGCAGTTTGAATATGATCCTCCTTTATCTTGCTGTGGTATTTTCCAGTCGAGGCTTATAGGTAAGCTGGATAATACCCTACTGCAAATCCAGGGGTTTGGGAAGCAGGCTGCCATCATCTGCCAAAGCTGCTGCTGGCTTGTAATAGAAAAACTTCCTACCAGCACTCACTGTGGTTAGGCTTCTCTGTGAAATCTCAAACAGTAAAATGGGGAACATGACTTGTTGCTTGCCTTTGAGACTCACCCTGCCAGTTCCTGGCAAAGAAAGTTGGAAGAAAGAAGCCACAACACTACCTGTGCCCTGCTCCTTGTCTGCAAGGGACTAATGGCTTGTGCAGTTGTCACTGAATGGGCAGTGAGGAGTGAAGGGTCTGGCTGGAGGAAGCAGCTTCATGGTCAGCAGAGAGTGGTCACCTCGTCACAGGGGAGCTGGAGGATGGGTGGTGTGGGTTAGTCTGACTCAATGCACTCACCAAATGAAGTTGCTTGTGCTCCCCGAGCACGGTGCCTGACTGTGGCAGTGCTGGCCTAGTGCAAATGCTTGTCTCTGATGGTTCAGGTATATGGGGACAGCCAAATGCCTAACTGCTGTTTGCAGATTGGAGTGATTCTTCTGTGGTTATCTTTCCTACACTCATTTTGAACTTGCTGTTTCCACCAGAATGAGCTTTTTAATGAGCTCGACCAGCAGGTAGTGTGAAAAAATTAATACAAAGGGACTGTCAATGAAAGTGCAAAGCTCCAAGCTGGTGTGTTGTTGTTTTTTTTTTTTCCAGGAAGTATTTTGTAGTAGTTTCTCATCTGTCACACCTGGTTGTTCCCATCCAGGGGAAGCTCTGCTGGACCAGGAGGTGATGGTCAGCTACGTGTACTCGTCCCCCGCCCTCCGCTGCGTACAGACAGCTCAGCACGTGCTGCAGGGTAAGGCACCAAAACCAGCCACAGTGGAAAATATCTTCATCAAACTCCTGTGAGGTCTCTGAGATAAGCAAATAAAAAAGATTTTGTGGTTATTAGTGGTTATCTTTAAGCAGGGAAGTCGAGGTGGTTTTGACTCGCAACCAACCTGCTGCCATGTGTGCAGTCTGGTGGGATATAATCCAATTAATTCTGGTCCTCACCAGTTAAAATGCAATCTAATGTTCTATGAAACAGAGGTGTTTCACATCAGGTTGAATTCAACATTAGTAGCTGCTCATCAAATCACCACTGTCACCTCTTCCAGAAAACATTCTGAGCCAAAAAGCAGATGCTTTCCAGTGCTCTGAAGGATCTGAATCAGGGGAGACAGATTCCTTCCTTTTTTTTTGCAAGCCAAACTATTTTAATTGCTTCATACTTCAGAACCTCTTTCCTCCTCTTTCTTCCCCTTCCTTTCCGTCTCTTCTTTTTTCCTTTCCTGCTTCTTTAAAAAAAAAAAAAAATGTCCATTGACAAGAGAAGTCCATTTCTAACACTGTCAGGACAATTTACTGCCCCACTGTGGAACACTGAGCAAAATGCTATATAAAAATGGTAAAACATTTCCTGTCCAAAGTCTATTCAGATTGAAACGTTACTAAGTATTTTTTTTCTTCTAGCAGAGCATCATAGGAGAGCTTCAGAAATTATGGTGATTATGTTAATAATAATAATTTGAAGTGCCTTAACATTAGTCAGACAGGAGTATAATGGTGGCTTCCTTTAATCAACGTGATCCTCTTTTGTTTGACAATAAGTAATTTGTTTTCTTTAACGAAAGTACTGCAGCAAACAAGGGAGAATCCATAGCCTGAATGCAGCACTTTGAGTGTACTTTTCTCCTAAGATGTATTTCTTGTTCTTGCAGGGCTTAAATTAAACCAAAAAGTCAAAATCAGGGTGGAACCAGGTCTGTTTGAATGGACCAAGTGGGAAGCAAGCAAAGCAATCCCAAACTTCATGACTGTGGCAGAACTGGCAGAGGCAGCTTACAATGTAGATACAAGTTACAGGTAATTGCTCCATATCTAACTGATAAAGCTGTGGAGTTTTTTTCCCCTGAGATTTCTTATCCTTTTATGTGTCATAAATCATTACAAACACTGTAAAGATGGGGTGATCCTGATCAAATTCTGTGCACCCCTGGGCAGAACCATGCAGGGGCTGGGGAGGGGTGCCTGACATGTCCTGGTTCTGGGGACAGGCAGGACAACAGTGTTTCATTACAATTTATGTTTGAGAGGGTTTTTATTTTTATTTGCCCTAATATTGATACTGTGCTCAGCAAGGACTTTTTGGGGCCCTCATAACTTGGTGGGGTGAGAGGTGATGCCTCTTCTGAGCACTTGCAAACCACAGCCTGGCAGGAAATGATAAGCCTCCAAATCAGTTTAGCTCCTCATCTTGCTCTCAAACCAGGCAGCTCTGTGTTTGCAGTGCACAGCCAGATCCAGGAAATTACTCAGCTGATAAAAGCAAGTGTCTCTGGGATTTCCCACATATTCAAGAAAGGGGGAAAGGAAGCCTCTTATGTCTTAAGGCATTTCTTACGGACAAGCAAGTATCTTCATTTGAGATTGCATGAAGGAACAAAATCCTTCATTTTCTTGGAGTATAGGGCTCTTTGATGTGGTTTTTTTTTTCCCAGCAACAGACTGTTTTCCCTAGGTTGTTTTTTTGGTACAGAATCACTTGCCTCAAAAGAAAGTGTGCCAGTGGACAGCATTGAGAAGCTCAGAAGGGAAGCTCTGAAGCAATGCTGATAAATACAGTGTTCAGGCCCCTCACAGCTCACCCAGGTGCAGGCAAAATTGGGGTGGATGAACTATAAACTTCCACACACGTTGCCAGTTTCTTCCCTCCACATGCAGGGTTAAAAATCCTCAGGTCCCAGGGTCTGGTTTTACGACGTGCAAACAACAACCTTCTATTGGGTTAAGTCCCTGATTGTTACCTCTCAGCAGTGGACGAGTTTCAAACTTTCCTGTTTCCAGTGCACGTTGCAAGAAGAGGCAACGTGAGAGGTGCTGAAATACTTGCTGCCCACGTGGTGTGTGCTGAGATGAAACCACCTTCAGGTTCACTGCACTCAGGAGCTGGGTGCCTGGGCTGGGATGGTTATCCTGCAGCCTTCTTGATGGTGGAAAGAAGGGTACTCCCAAGACACTGATTTTCCATCGTAGATAACCTGTGTCAGGCACTTGAGATAGCATGAATTTCCCTCTCAAGGAGCTTATTTATTTCCACTGACCTTGCCAGACACTTGAGTTGTAGGCAGCTGTGTGGGGTTAACTCTGCCTCCCTCTCCTCTCACACTCTCACAGAAGCAGAGGTTGGTAGGTGCTCCCTGTCCCAAAGCAGGATAAACTCTGCCTTGGCCATTCCTGCTCTTAATAACTTGGAGTCTCTGTGAAAGCTGCTTATTTCTTTCTTCTGCATCCTTTGCATGGAGGACAGAACCTTCCCTCCTCACAACAGCCCTTTGCAGATGGTTATCATGTCCTTCTCAGCCATTCCTCTGAGCTGAACTCTTCCTGTGCTCCCCTGTGGGCTGTGCTTTCTGGACACCTGTTCACAGCTCCTCTCTGGATTTTTGCTTGCTGATCCTCACCTCACTTGGTTTGTTGCACTCAGAGCTGGGCACAGCACTCTCAGTGAGCTCTTAGCCTGGGTTGAGCACTTCTGTTGGTATTTAGCCTGGAGACTGCCTGAGCTGGTGCTGGAGATGCTCAGTTCTGGTGCAGGACAGCTGGTAAACAACATGATTAATACTTAAGGGACAAAGGTGCCTACAGGACAACACACACAAAAAAACAACATTGCAGCTCTGCCTTAATGCAGACCAGTTTTGAGCAATCTAGACTTGTCTGATCTAGCCAAGATTAATATTAGGTTTTACATATTTTCTACTTCTGTCATTTGTGATGATTTAACATACTGAGGACTCACCTGTGGAAGAACATTATGATACCACATCTTATTGCAATATATTAATCTAATCTCTTTCCTGCCTGCTCACTGAACAAGGAGACAGTCAAGTCAGGGCAGGGGAGTGCAGTTGTTTGTAGAAAAAAAATTAACACTCTATTGTATCACACACATGGCTAAGGATTTGCCAGCCGTAGCAGTGGACAATTCCCATTCCCAGAGAAGACGGATTATATGGATGACATGAGTTTGGGGAGGTTCTATTCTGTTGCCAAGAAGCCCTGGTTCAAGCATCAGCTAAGTGGGTAGATATCAAAGACAGGAGCCTGGTGAGAGGTAGCAAATGGCTGTGGTCCTGCTGCCTATTTTGCCTGTCCTGCGGATCTCAGAAGGCTGCCAGAGTCTCCCATCAGTGGGAATTTGGTGTTCCCAGCCATCTATTCTTGGTACCTCAGGGCACCTCAGGTCCCTTCAGGTTCTTCCCTGCTGCTGCTGGAGTGGAGCAGTCCCCAGGCCTCCTCCTGGGGCTGGGCAGGGCTGGTGTCCTGGAAGCTGCTGTGGAACCTTAGGACAGGTCTGTGCAGGGGCAATGTTGTCCATCTGACCCAAGCCCCACCAGTCCTGTGAGGCTTCCCTGATTCACAGCAGTTTGACTCTTACTTTTTTAGGAAATGTTTATTCAGTGCAGGAAGAGCCCTGGTATATAAGAGAAAGAAGAAATGCCTGCTCTCAGCAGAAGTGCACAGGTGCTTAGGAGGGGTGCATTGTGATTAATTCTCCCGGAAACACGTTCTTTTTAACTCTAGGAGTGAAAGTCTTTACTGTCCACTTGACCAGGGGAAAGCTAATGCTCCAGGCAAGCTGAGGTCACCGTGTGCCAGCCAAGTCAGCAGACAAACCTTTCAGCCGAGTGCCTTTCCTCTGGTGTAATCATTCAGTGGTGCTATCAGTGTCCCAGCAGACATCTAGATTAACATTATCTGTGATTTTTTTTGTCAGGGGTAACTTCCCACTCTCTTCTCTGGTGCCGTCGGAAAGTTATGAAGATTATTTAAGCCGAAGCTCTGCGGTTATGAAGCAGATCATCACTGCCTGCCCCAGCAAAGGTAAAGGTTTCAGATCTTTGTGTATTCTGTCAGACATTCAGGAACAGGAAGTGGCAGAGATTTGCCAACAGAATGACATTTAACATGAGTTGTTGGTACTGCACAAAGCTTAGAGTAGTCTGAGTGCATGTCCTGGGCTACACTGAAGTAAAAATACATGCAATTTATGAGCTAGAAATGAAAAAAAGTAAAATTAAACAGAGACTATGGAGTACTAAATTGCAAGAGTATGCTCTTTTCTTGGTCTTTCTACACTGGCTTGTAGCTCAGCAAAAGATAATACGCTTTTCTGGGAAGCTTTTTTCCTTTTCACTAGCAGATGCCTTCTCTCACTAGCTGCCCTGTTACAACAAACCTGCTTTTTTTCTACCCAACACAACACACCCAACCACACGATCAAAAAGGTCTGCAGAGATGAACAGCCCCAAAAGCACCTCACACCCACCTGCTGATGAGGAACCTGACAGTGCTGCAGCTCCCTCACTACTCCTCTTTGCTTTCTCTGGTGTACCAGGGGTCATCCTCATCGTGGGCCACGGCTCTTCCCTGGCATCTGTCACCTGGCCTCTGATGGGGCTCCCCAGCAGAGACAGCAGTGACTTTGCCCAGATGGTACGGAAGGTAAGAGGATTCTTCTTCATCAGGAAGCTTTTGCTTTGTTTTATTGTCCCTCTAACAAGGGGCCTGCTTATGCAGGGAGTCATGTGGGCACGCCAACACCAATGACGTCAGCTTTCTCATTCCAAAGGGAATCTCATGCAGTTTTAGCAAAGCACTGGAGGTCAAGAGGAGGATTTCATCCAGATGGCTTTGTATGTGACTAGCAGTTATGTCTTTCGAGAAGATTTCCATCCAACCCCCCTGGGTTTGGATTTACGGGTGGTGGGATAAGGTGGAATGGCTTCAAACTGAAAGACAGTAGGTTTAGATTAGATCCTAGGAAAAAATTCTTTACTGTGAGGGTGGTGAAGCCCTGGAACAGGTTGCCCAAGCTGTGGTTGCTCCATTCCTGGAAGAGTTCAAGGCCAGGCTGGATGGAGCTCTGAGCAACCTGGTCTAGTGGAAGGTGTCCCTGCCCATGGCAGGGATGTTGGAAATGGATGATCTTTTAAGGTCCCTTCCAACCCAAAACATTCTGTGATTCCATGGTTCTGTGAAACAGGGCTAAGAGCCTTCCTTTTCCTCCCCATGGTGCCATGAAGGTAACCTATAGTTATATTCAGTGAGTCACTCTTCAGAAAGCTGTGTGTTTTTCAAGGCACATGTTTTAAGTTCACAATGTCAGTGCTCAGTTACAGAATGACATGGAAAAGGGTTTTCCAGCCAGCTTCTCAAGTGGGGCCTGTGCCTGAGACTCAATCACCAAAGTTTTATGTTTGCTTTGTGTCTTATCCCCACTGGCAGAATTCTTCAGCTCAGTTTTCCTAATCAATCTGCCTTGGTATGACCAACCAGAGAATTCAGTCTTTAGATATATTTTTACTTCCACTGCTGATGCATAAGAAGGGGTGAATATATTTTGGTCGTCAAACCCAAGCATGCATGTGAAGAGATAAGTTCACCTTTCAGCCCTCAGGCCTCCAGTCTGGTTTTAGTTCATTTCAGAAGAGACAGAATATCAGGGTCTCCTCTGTTCTGTAGCAAAAGCCCCCACCCTTCATGTCAATGCAATGACCCTGCTGGTAACTCTGCTGGTAACTTCTCTCCTAGATCCCTTCCCTGGGCATGTGTTTCTGCGAAGAACTGAAAGAGCAGAACAAGTGGCAGATGGTCAACCCACCAGTGAAGACCTTAACTCACGGAGCAAATGCAGCATTTAACTGGAGAAACACCGTCATGGAAGATTAAAGGGTCGGCTCTGCCTTTGCAGTTGTCAAAAATGAGCCCAAAGAGGGTTGTGGTTCAGCACAGTCCAGTGAGTCAGCCAGAAGACACACAATGGGTGGGGAAATGCCCCCTCCGAGTTGTCAAAGCACAGAAAAACACTTGCAAGTTTGGTGCCTGAATTTTGTTTTTATTTTGGTGGCTGAGAAGAGGGAACCTCTGTACTGGAGTTCAAGTGACAAATAACACTTCTAGTGTTATTCTAGTGAGGAAAGTTCCTTTTAACCTTTCCTGAGGGTACAAATGTTTAATAAATACTGATCTAACTACCTGATCATAAATTCCACTGCAAAAGGCCCAACTACATGCAGTAAGAATTTTTTTCCATGCACTTGGATATTTTCAGACAACACAAAAACTGGGACTGAAAAAAGGTCATCTCCTACCCGAAGAGGGGATCACCTCTACCTAAAGCCACTGGGTTTCCTGTTCACTCCATCAGTTCTGTGAGAGTAAATACCACACCGCCTATTCATTTGCCTCTTCTATGAAGGGAGTTCATTTTCTATCAGGCAGCTCCTCAATCAGCAATTCTTGAGAGATCCATACTGCAGAAGGGTCTAAATTCCTCCTTTTTGAAAAAAACTAAACTGATGTCTTTGCTGTTGCTGGGACAAAGAAAGTGTGTTACTGTACTGGTGACAAAACTATGACATGAACAACTCTAACTCTGAACCCTTCCTGAGATGGCACTTGCAGGACAAAAGCTTTGCTTTGTGCTGTTTTGTGACAGATTGTATAAATGGTGACACATCTCCTGGATGGGTCACCCAAAACGTCTCTGTAGCTCCTCTTGGTGATTTGTTTAATTAAGACAACATAGCCTTGAAATATTATGCACAAACAGGAAAAGGCCTTTCCACAGCTATGTCTTTCTTTCTAATAATGTTCATTTCTAGTTATCAGATAACTACATCCAGGAAAGCACAAATTTTTCTTTCAATGAAAGGAAAAAATAAAAAAGTTTTTCTCTAGGCATGACTGAAAATGTTTTCATTTTCCCTCCTCACTACTTACTCCTATTTGACCCCTCTGTGCATTCATGCCCCATCAGGGCAAGTGGTAGAGCCCACCCAACATTCCATCTTTGGGGCTGAGAGGTGTCTGACAAGCCCCTTCATCCGTGGGTGTAGAGATTTCACTATCTCACTCCTGCACCTGAAATGATTCATTCTGACTTTCCAACTCTGGTGAAGTTCCTCGAGCTCTTGATTTTCTGACAGTGCTGTGATTTTTAAAGTGAAAATCAAATGTCCCAAGGGCCAAGGCAGGAGCCCTTTAACTATCAAGGGATGTAATGAAGGGAGCAGACAGAGGCAGGTGAGCCCTGTGCTCCCCTTTTCACATGGCCCACCCGCCTGCAGGGTATGGAGCTGGCACTAACTGACAAGAAAGAGAAAAAGAAAACTTCCTTCAGGGACAATAGTCTACAATGCTACTTAAAAGACTGGTCATTTTAAAAGCATTAGTGACACAAAATTTCATGTGCTTTTCATGAGAAATTTTCCCCTACCTTTTCGGAAATTATGTGAGGTGTTTTTTCTTAGGCATTTTATATATTAATCCTAAATTGTGCTGCAAACACCAGTTTGGGTAAAGAATCTGGGTCTCCCTTTAAAAAAAAAAAGCAAAATAAAATACCAAGTGACACCTCTCCCTTCACCCAAGGGCACCAGAAATGTTGTCAAGGTGGGTCTGTTGTGAGAAGTAACCCATAAAAACAGAACCTTTCGCATCATCTCCTTTTTTTTTTTTAATCAGATTTCTTACTCTGCTGCCACGGTGCACAAAATAGCAATGAAATATTTCTCTTAGCTTGTCAAACTTTTTGGCCTGCAGAGATCATGTTAGAAGCAGCCAGTTTATGGCACTGTAATGCTGTTATTGCCCATCAAGCTCCTATCCACAATGAGTGTGTGCAGCTCCCAAGAGGCAGAGGAGAGGAGGGGAGGAGCACATGGATGGGGGAAGTGTCTGCCTGTTACAGGTGGGGATATGGGGGAAGGCTTCAATCAGTTCACCCAACCTTGGCATCTAATCAAATGCCAACGGGCCATGAACAACACTACTGGCAAGCTAAATGTATTTAACAGGCAGATCGCTGAAACACCTGGACCAAAATCCAACTGTGCTCTGGTTTTTTCAATACAGATGCACTCCAGTGAATTTTACTTCAGTAAAAGCAAGGAATTGAACTTCAGAGCATGTGGGAAAGAGGGTCTGAGGACTAAAGTACTCTCCTGTGGTGGTTTCTAATCCAGACACCACAGTGTTAAATAGACGAGGACAAATGCTTAATCAAAATACTGTATTTAGCTTAAAAAGACTTCTCCGTTTCTAGATTTTGATTCCATTGAACAGAAAGAACAGGCAGCACACACAGCAAGGCATTGAAACTATCTCAGTGACTGGGATAGTTTCATGACTGAGATGGAAGGGCAAGACAAGCTTTTCTATTCACAAGGACCCTACTTTTGGCTTCCCATGGGAGCACAGACTCAACTCTAAACACATTTTAAGATCAGAGCTGAAATTATAAACTTAAGCATACAAGGTTTCTTAGTTGTACAGCCTAGTGCTTAGGAGAGAGAGAATTCCTAACGTGCTGTGTGCATAGTATGAGACTGATCACTGAACACAGGGAAACGAGGAAAATGTCCTGGGAAGTTTCAAAGTCGATTTTGTATTAAGCAAAAGAAATAGAAAATTCTTTTCCAGTTTCTTGAGTTATTTTTATTCCATTTCTAAAAACAGACGTTGCTTTACTCCACTGCAATTTTCTTTAATTGGACGTATTTCCTTACAAAGTTATGTACTTTAATAGATACTTCTAGTGCTGCCTTGAAACTCTGAATGTTTTCTTCATAACTTAAAAGTGAAAACACAAATTCTTTGGATAAAGACCTCCAGTGACGCTAATCTATGGTGACACCTTGTGGAAAAAAACAACCTCAGACATACAGGACTAGGTAAGATCCTGTGTGATTGAGGGATGAAGAGGAGGATCAACAATTTTACTTGAGCAATAATGCTACATCCATACCCTTTGAAAGGACAGTAAGGTCAAAATGTATAAAGTTTGGGACTACTTTTAAGCAGAAGAGCTTGGAGAGACATTTGAGTCCAATTCTTCTGAAAACCAAGATGAAAAAAATTCTATGAATGTTCTGATCCTGATTTTTCTATAAGCTTTTCCCTTGTGCCATAATTAATACTGGTGCAAGATAAATGTGCAGTTCTGCTGCACTTTGCCTGGATTAGACCTCTTAATTACACTTTTTATTTTCGAGCTTTTGGACAAACTCCTCTTTCTTGCCCTCTCCTCTCTTCTTTTTCTCTCTTTTTGTTCCCATAGGTGGTGGCAGTTTGTGCTTCTAAAGGTATAAACCCCCTCCGGTTTAATATTAATTTGAGAAATCAAAAGGTGGTGTGGGATAAAGGCTTGTGCCAGTGCTTGTTTGCTGCCCAAATTTAAAAGCTCTCTGCAATGTTTCTGGTCTGAATTCAGTTTAGCCCTTAGTATTGGTTTGGAATTAAGGGAATGTTCACCTGGAAAGTGAAAACTCAAGAGGCTCAGCTTGGAAAAACTGGTAGATTTCGAAATAATCTGGATGCAGTTTTGTGTTGGTTTATGGGAATCCCATCCCATAAACTGGTTTGAGTTCATAACTTTCCAGCCTGGAGGTAATTACTGACATGTATCTGTCTGACTTTAATGGACTCTCTTATACTGTGGGAATTTTGCTATGAAAACTGATGGGCTTGAAGTCTGAGGTAGAGAGTTGCCAGCCAGAAGCAGTTTGCTTTTGAAGTAAAACCAGAACTTTTGATCCACTTGGGATGAGCTATTGTAATGACTAGAGTGAAACAGGACTTCCATTTCCTAATTCTTCAGCTGACAGAAGCGAAACAATATTAAATTTTAAGTTTAGGGGAAAGAGGAAAAATATTTTAATAACTTCTCTTTCCCTACAACTCACAACTTCAGAAAAGGTATGTCCAAAATTTTGAGAGTTGGCACTGAAATGAATTTTAAAAAAACAGAGGTAGATCTACAAGTCCTACCACAGAATGAAATAGGAGATAAAAGTACATCTGCCCACAGAGCAGTTCTGAGATGCTGCCCTGTGCCCAGCCATGGGGATGGATGTGGCACTCAGGGACATGGTTTAGGGGGGATGATGGTGGTAGTGGGTGACGGTGTGACTGGATGACCTTGCTGGTCTCTTCCAACCTGGATGATTTGGTGTTTCTGGGGCTGCCCTGACCCAGGTGCAGCCCCGTTCACTTGGCCTCACTGAACCTCAGGAGGTTCTCATGGTCCCACTTCTCAAGCTTGTGCAGGCCCATCTGGATGGCCCCATCCTTTATTGTTTCACCTGGCCTGCTCAGCCTCCTGTCACCTGCCAAGGTGCTGAGGCTGAGCTCGACCCCACTGTCTGTGTCACTGGTAAAGACATTGCAGAGCCCTGGGCCCAAAGCCGAGCCCTGAGGGACCCCTCGTCCTCAGCCTCTCCCTGGACAAGGACCATTGGCCACAACTCCATGTCTACATCCATATATCCAATTGCTCATCCCCTGAGTTGCCCACCCTCCAAACCCAGGGCTCTCCTGTGTGGAGATCAGGATGTCGTGTGGCACCGTGTCCAAAGCCTCCCAGGGGTCTGGGCACACCAGGGCCTGCAGGTCCTGGGGGTTGCCCATAGCCAGGCAAGGCCTGTTCCAGATGGAGCCAAGCGGTTCCAGCCACTTCCAGGTGGTTCCATGGTTGTTGGGGTGCCTGGGGTGGCCCTTTGTGACGTGGGGGCCGCGTCGTGCCCAGAGGCCATTGTGACACCGCGGGTGGGGGCAATAAAGGGACGCAGAGCCCTGGGGTGCCCTCTTTTTGGAGAGCACCTCGCTCAGGAGGCAGCAGCTCCCTGAGAACCTCTGAGGCAGAGGGCGATGGAGATGCTCAAGGAGAAGGTGAACCCCGACTCCCAACCCGACAATGTCCTGTCCCAGTGGGAAGCCGAGGAAATCCAAGAGCTGTCCCATTGGGAAGATGAGGAATATGAGGAACTGTCCCCCTGGGGATTTGAGAAATACCACGAAGCACTGCAAGGACAGAGAGAGGAAAGAGTCTATGAGCTGTTCCAACAGGAATTTGAGAGGTACCAAGAAGTGATGCAATGGGGAGATGAAAGACTCCAAGTGTTGCCCCCATGCAACAACCAAAGACTCCAAGAGCTGTCCCAAATGGAAGGGGAGACAGTGCAAGAAGTGTCCCCAGGGGGAGATGTGGAAGTCCAAGAGCCGACCCAGTGGGAAGGCAAGAGAGATGAAGAGCTGTGCCAGGCAGAAGATGACAGGGACCAAGTGCTTTGGCAGTGGGAAGGCTCCGTGGAGCAAGAGCTGTCCGAAGGGGAAGTGAGAGCAGAGCCGGAGATGTCTGCAGGGGAAGTCAGAGTCAGCGGAGACCCAGAGCTGTCCCAAGAGGCTGACACCATTGACCAAGAGCTGTGGCAGGAGAAATGGGAACGCATCAGCATCCGCACCATCTGGGTCAACCCCAAGTACCCAGAGCTCCTGCAGAACCCTCAGCCTGCGCCCCAGCGGTCAGCACAGGCAGCGGCTTCTCCTGCCTGGTGGGAAGAGGAAGCAGGGGCAGAGAGCCCAGGCCCTGCCCTGCACAGCCCCTGCTGCCCCCCCAGCCCCTCACCTCCCTGTTCAGAGGGGGCAATGTCGGGGGCAGAGCTGCCAGGGCCACAGCCTGAGCAGTGGTCCTTGGCCAGGGAGGAGAAAGTGTGCAAATACGTCACCATCCGCACCATCTGGGTCAACCCCAAGTACCCAGAGCTCCTGCAGAAGCTTCAGCCTACTCCCCAGGAGTGGGCACTGGCAGCCTCTTCTCTTGGCTGCGGACAGCAGGTGCC